TTTTGTTTCATTTTTGACACGTCCACATATTTAGATAAACATATGTCATATTATGGTCAAGACTGGATGGAAGAGCTCGGGCTGCACCCGGTAAACTGCATTGTTGCCCATATCTATATAATTATGCAAAACAATATGCAAAGCGCACCAAAATACTTGCACGAGTCCGTTCTATTCTGATTTCTGAAAAAGCGCGTTTGTTTACAAACAAGAGAAAAGTCCGGTCACGTGATATACAGTGGTGTGGCAGTGGTGTTATGCAAAGTCGACGTCACCACTGCGCCGGAGCGTGGCCATTTACTTGTTTTTTTTGTTAAAGTTCATTTTGTATATATTCATATCTAAATGTATGATAAAGAATTTTCGTGACCCTAAATATGTTTTGATACTTTTGTTTATATTTTTTAAGATTTTGCAAACACGAAACTACTTTTTAAGTCGCAAATACCAGGGGTGGTGAACAGTCCCTGTGTGTCAGGTAGGGAGAATTTACATCTCAAGGTTTTACATTTGTAATGAAATAATTTAATTTTCTGGCAGACAACTACACAAAACGTATATAATAAATAGGATATTCCATGTATCTCGTGAAACATCATATTCTCCCTGGCCGCGGCATTCCCTTGCCTTGAGGTAAAACGTGTTATGAACCTCCACTGGGACGGACAATGGTAAAGACAATGGTTGTTTCTATTCTTCTGTTTAGTTTTCTTTCTGTTTTTGTAAGAATTCCATTTGTTTGTATGTCATTAACAACCTCATTTTAGGCTCAGTCAAAGTTTCCTTTTCTGCGGGAAGTTCTGTTTGTGAACCTGATGTGGATGAAAGACTGGTTGGTATCTTGAAGATCAATATGGTGTAAAATGGTCTGATCTTTTGACATCCAGCTAATGGCTATGTGACATCCAGTATCAACTTTGAGAGATGACGAGATGATTGTCACAAAACAGCTGCATGATTCAGAAGAGGACATGTGTTCACAACTGCAGTTTTCAAATCTCAAGTCATCTGTGCGTTCATCTATCTTTCAGCGGGAGCAGGCTGGAGAGTAACATTTATGGCACGATTTTGCTCCATGTCCGAACCGTTGGCATTTAAAATAACTGTATGGATTTGTTTTTGCCATTTTCGTTTTTGTTTTTGACCTTTTCGTTTTTGTTTTTGACATTTCCATTTTAGTTTTTGACATTTTCGCTTCACATTTCAGCGATTCAATAGCTACTTGAAAGTACATTTTCCATGTTTTCGGTTGTTTTTATACATGATTTATCACATATTTGTATGACAAATTGTGTTAATTTGCAAAAGGTTACGATAACAGTAAGTGAAATATCAAAATATTGAAAAACAGACTCCATGTCCCTTATGGGCCACCGTAGTTCAGAGACATGATATTTAACTTATCTTAATGCATCATACTGCATAGAATTTTTCATTGTGTACCACCTGGCCGCGGCGTTCACATCCCCGCCCCGCCCATCCTCTTCCCCGCCCCGCCCATCCTCTTCCATTCGCACACCGACACCTCGCTCACGTCATGTAATGTGCGTTATGCCAGTACACAAGTGACAAAAGCCGAGCACAGCAGAGGCATTGACACCGCAGCCAGCATACCACCACATTTGCATACTGTTTTTGAACTGTTTACATGTTGAGGTGCTTATTGTCCACCAGTGTATTGACCCAAATATTCTTGTTAATATACATACTGTACCTACAGAGAAGGGTTTTATTATAAGATGAATAGAAACAAGTAGAGATTGCTGCAGAGCATCAATAGCTCCCCGCAATATAATGTTATGTGCAGAGGAAGGAAGTGTAAGCTATGGGAGGAGAGAATTTGTGTTAAGTACAAATTGGTTGTTATTAATGTACTTATCTTTGGAAAGCACAATAAAAGAAACAGTGTCTTTAATTGGTCAGCACAAAGAAAACCCAGGCAAGAAAACTGGGCCTGTCAGGCAAAACTTGATGTATACCCACTATTAGTACCAATAAAAAAAATCCTATTTAGATAACACAACAAATGTCACTCTAAAGCATGCTTTTGCAGCAAATATCAATATTTCTGGTCAAAATATTGGTTGGTTTAAATAAAGCAAACTTTTAAAATAGTAAACACAAAAGATGTAATGAATACACTCTAAATATACTTCAGTTCAAATGTAAAAATTCACGCAATCATTAATGGATTCCCATTTATCTAGCAGCAAGTTAGGAACATACAGTTTGGTCACGTTATCTATAAATATTGAGAATCATCTTACATATTGTAAAAACAAAGGCCATTGGTCACTTTTCTCAAAACTTCGTTTAAGTAATCACAAACTAAAAATTGAAAAAATTGTAGATATACAAAAACACCAACCCCATTTGAACAACGTCTCTGTGAAACATGTGATGTCTCAGAAGATGAACAACATTACGCACTGTCTTACATAATACAACCAAGAAAGAGAATCGCAAATAATCCCCAATCATTATAAAGAATTTGGTACACTCTGTTAAAAGGAGCAGATTCTTAATAAGTTTACCAACAGTTATCCAGAAACAACTTCCAAGATCTGTTAACATATCAACAATTACAAACAAATTCCTTGTACATGTATGTACTACATTACCATAGTTTTGCTCAATTCTCATATTGTTTCCATATCATTATAAAACACTTGTTTTAGAAATTAAATTCTACCTCTTTTGAATGTTGAATGTTCCTGTGTTTTTTAATTGTCGTTTATTGTGCATGTATTTTGTAGTTTGTGATTGTGCAATATTGCCACTGTTTCTTCATGGAATGTTCCGCAATACATATCTCATCTAAAACATCTTTGTTGTATAATAGTTTCTTACAGTTGTTTACGGGGACATGGTTGGCCATGTCGCCGAAGGCGCTGCAATTCGCTATGCAGAGTTGTGTCCCTTGGGCACGCCAGAAACCTATGACAGTGTGTTTGAATCTCGGTTCGCCCCGATTTTGTTTTCAGCACAAAACTCTTGCTCGTTGGTTTCACCAAAGTGGTGAACGTCTAAGACCTGCATCACTTCAGAGTTTCATCCCACTTCAAGCTGACACGGAATACTATTCAAGACGGCGTTAAACCCAACTACCTCACTCACTCTTGTGTATGGTTCCGTTTGGTTAACTGGGTTTGTGTTGTGATTGCTTCCGGCTTAGATTGGAAATTTGTTTAGAAGAATGTTACTATGTTCAACCCAAACATCGTGAAGATATCATGCAACCGTATTATCTTTTTGGAAAATAATTGCAAACTACAGACCAACCTGTTGATTTCCTATGTATCCAGAAGCAAAGAACATATACGGGTGTATGATCTCTGCTGGAAGTAATTTTTTTTTGTCAAAGCAATAAACCATGCAGAAACGTAAACCGCCGCATGAAACGGTATGTACCATACATTACATACAGTGAAGTATTTAAAACAATGCTGTGCTCAACTATGCACAGCAAGCGCCATACATGTGATTATGAAGACAACTAATAAAAAATTTCTCATATCAAACCCGTTGTTTTACATGTGTTGTTTATTGAAGAAAGTCATACTTTATAGAAGCCTGTTATTTAATCGTGTTGAACAATATGTTGCAATAGCAGTGTGAAAATTGAGTGCGCGTGACAGGCTTGGCCTAAATTCCTTCCTGGAACGTTTCTCGATGGCTGCCTGAATAACATACGATACATTGCAAAGGTAGTGCGCAATTGAACTGTTCGGGGAAGGGAGATAATCACTCACTCTCACTGATACAGCTTGAATAAGATACGATGTACAGCAATGCAAGGTCAGTGCGTGAATTTATCACTTCTATACTACGCCTATAGCTAATGGAGATAATCGCTCAATGCGCAATAGTTTATTCTTACAAAATATAGACAGGTTAACTTTAGCGAAATGGGATCATTTTTAGCTCTTTTAAAAACAAAATGAACAAATTTCATGGGTTATCAGCATTACGAAAAGTGACTAAGTCTCAGAATAGCAAGACGATTTTGAAGCATCTCTTATTGAGATAAACATCAACATTTCACGCACATTTCACATGATTTGTATGTTTCGTTTCGGTAACTGTGTGGCTTGAAATTTCTAAGAAACCAACATGTCGACTTACATGCTCCAAAATTAACCTCTCCCGTATACTTCCCCGCCTTAAGGGCGGGGAAGAATAAACAACACTTGACAAACAAAATATGATGATAATTTGACGTCCTTGGCTGGTTTTATCCCCGACTGTGCCATCTTTAGTGTATAACATACTTTTAAACCAACATCTAGTGGTTAGATAGGTTTGTCAATATAATAAATATCAATATAATATATACTCAAAGTTGTATTAAATTTTTTGAAAAAGGTGTGCTGGTGATCATGGCTAGGATTTTGCTTCTACTTATCACTGTGCTGTAATCTGTCTAGACAAATGCTTATTTACTCCAGTGGAAAAAATAGATCACTTTTTGCTGCAAAACAAACATGACAGGGCACTAGTTTTGTTTGTTTATTTGTTTGTTGTTTAACGCCGAACTCAGCAATATTCCAGCTATATGACGGCGGTCTGTAAATAATCGAGTCTTGACCAGACAATCCAGTGGTTGACATCATGAGCATCGATCAACGCAATTAGGATACGATGACCTGCATCAAACAAGTTAACGAACCCGTTAGTCGCCTCTACCGACAAGCATAGTCGCCTTTTTCCCGCAAGAATGGGTTGCTGAAGACCTGTTCTACCCCGGATCTTCACAGGTCCAGAGCACTAGTATGTAGTATGTCACAGCAAGTGTACTAACTACACTCATTCATACCAGACTCAAATGATACCAATTTTGGTCATTTTCAATCACTGGATTGTCTGGTCCAGACTCGATTAACTACAGACCGCCGTCATATAGCTGGAATATTGCTGAGTGCGGCGTAAAACAGCAAACAAGCATATTTATGTACGTTTTTATATGTTATTGTTACATTATTATAACAGGACATACATACCTCGACATAAACCTTTGCCGTCTTGGAGTAACGGTCGTACAGGGTTTGGTTGTCTAAACTGTCGTCAACGGTTTTTGACCAGTGGTCACGAGCCACAGCTTTCTGTTCCTCAGTGGCGTCTGTAGAAAATTCCTGACTCATTGCGGGCTGAAAGTATCAGTGAATGAGTTCGCGGTAGTCGTGTGAATGAGCTCAGTCAACTGCAGAAGAATTGTTTGGGTCGAGACTTTAAAAACTAACCTCAGTAAGCGGGTATAGTTTTACACCGCTTTCAGCACTTGACAAACAAAATAGGATGATAATTTAGACGTCCATGGCTGGTTTTATCCCCCACTGTACCATCTTTAGTGTATACCATACTATTAAACCAACACCTAGTGGTTAGCTAGGTTTGTCAATATAATAAATATCAATATAATATATACTCAAAGTTGTGATAAATTTTATGAAAAAGGTGTGCTGGTGATCATGGCTAGGATTTTGCTTCTACTTATCACTGTGCTGTAATCTCTCTAGACAAATGCTTATTTACTCCAGTGGAAAAAAATGGATCACTTTTTGCTACACAACAAACATGACAGAGCACAAGTTTTGTTTGTTTGTTTGTTGTTTAACGCCGAACTCAGCAATATTCCAGCAAAATGACGGCGGTCTGTTAATAATCGAGTCTGGACCAGACAGTCCAGTGATTGCCATCATGAGCATCGATCCACACAATTAGGATACGACGACATGCATCAAACAATCAAACAAGTCAGCAAGCCCGTTAGTCGCTTCTTACCCGACAAGCTTAGTCGCCCTTCACCGATAGAATGGGTTGCTGAAGACCTGTTCTACCCCGGATCTTCACAGGTCCAGAGCACTAGTATGTCAGTAGTATGTAGTATGTCACAGCAAGTGTACTAACTACACTCATTCATACCAGACTCAAATAGCTGGAATATTGCTGAGTGCGGCGTAAAACAGCAAACAAACATATTTATGTACGTTTTAATATGTTAAAGTTACATTCGTCATAACCCTTTGCCGTCTCGGAGTAACGGTCGTACAGGGCTTGGTTGTCTAAATTGTCGTCAACGGTTTTTGACCAGTGGTTACGAGCCACAGAGAGTTTGTAGATTTGTCATGTTGAAAGTTCTTAATTTTCCATTACGAGTGAATGAGTAAGCGTGTATGGTTTTACACCGCTTTCATCAATATTCAAGCAATATCACGACCGGTGTCACCAGAAATGGGCTACACACATTGTAGCCATGTGGGGAATCGAGCCCGGGTCTTCGGCGTGACGAGCGAACGCTTCTACCACAAGGCTGCCCAAACGCCCCTGTCAATTATGAAAGTGTGGAATTGATTACAAAGTAATTTTAGCGGAACATACCGATTTGGTTCTGGCTTGTCTTGACAAGTAATAACAGACGAAAACAGGCGAGCTTGAGCTGGGACGATATACACTAAACGTTCGCACAAGAGGCGTTGTACTGATCGCTTTGTGAGAAATGCCTACCCGTAGGGGCGGAACGACCGCAGAAGTGGTCGATGAACCGGAATTTGTGAACGTACTATTAGTGTGCATATATTTTTGTTATGCCTTTTATATATTTTTTACAAATTAAGCTTAACAATTAAATATTTGCAAGTTGCTTGCTAGACCAGTGTATCTCGTTTGTATCTCCACTGGTCTCCGGCTGTTCCTTGGCGAGCGCATTTACGCGAATATAACAATTACGTAATCTTATGTGTGTGTATGTGCATACGTGTGTAGAAATACATACGTGAGTGTACTTGTCATGTGAACGCGTTTACGCATGATTGTGTGTATATTTACACCAGGAGCAAATTGGCATAATGTCTGGAGCAGGTGCAAATGTAAATGTAAATTTGCACTGTGTATATGTTGCAATGTGAACGTTTATGTAAACGTAAGAAGATGATCTAATTAATATCTGTTCTTTTGCCAACACCAAACAAATTGTCAACAGTTGCCAACTTTTATGTGTATATACAGAGTTGAGCGGACAGTCTTTTCTTTTGGTTTCAAGGAGTCAAAACTTTGTGTACAGATTAAATCAAACACATGTTGCTTCACGCGAAATTTTTCGGTGAAGTAACTCTCTTCTCATTCAACTTTGATTGGAAGACAACCTGTTTTGTGTTGAAAGTCGTGAACAGACTGACGAATATGTGTGCCTTACAAAATTTACATACATTATTTACACTCCTAAGATGCTTTTCATGTGAACGCATAGCAAATTTACATAAACGCACGCATGTATAGTTACGCATGTGTAAAATTACTTACGTGAACGGGCGGGTACGTCCGCGTCGGCCTTTGTTCTCTTGGACAAGCACTGATAAATGTTTTGTTATACCATCGGGCTCATGGTTAACCATTGGCTAAAACTGTAATTAAAATCAGCTCTTCTCAGGCAATACTGGGACTATTTTCTTGCCACCTGCTTTGCGTCGTCAACTTTGACAGCCAAGGACAGACAACATAGCCGGAAATTGGAACATCAGAGTAATTGTTAATATAAGGGTAACGCTATTTTTCAGGGCATTATCATTTGCAGAAGCCCGAGGTCACACTCCGTCGCAGTGGTGACTCAGCATAACACCACTGCCACAGGCTAATTTGCATATCACGTGACCGGACTTTTCTCTTGTTTGTAAACAAACGCGCTTTTTCAGAAATCAGTATAGAACGGACTAATGCAAGTATTGGGGGGCGCTTTACATATTGTTTTGCATAACTATATAGATATGCTACTACAACTGCGACAGTGAGTTGCATGACAATATATATTTATGCATCAAAGTGACCGTGTCGCTAGCTCTCCGTTGCGCTTCGATGACAGCACGTGGAGCCGTACAACCAATGTAAACATAGGATAACTACGCAAAAACAAGTAGATTTTTACGTATTTGCATACTTTCTCAATGAAAGTTAACCATTCTATGACATTTGCTTATGAAAATGTGTAGACTTGTTAAACATGAAACGGATGAAAAGCATATGCAATATCTTGAATGGACTGTGAAAGATGTGACGAATCGTCACATGGCGCTGGCCTGTGGCAGAGGTACTATGCTAGCTGGCTGCCGGCCGCATAGACTAACATATAGTCTCTGAAATGAACATATCATACAGAAAAAACAGTTGTTCAGTTATCTTAATAAAAATCTAATAAAAAGGGAGCCCAGTGATTCTCTTCATACTGCAGTAATCTAGACTTGCCAAACATTATAGACTTGCATGGGCTGTAGTTGATATAAATGTATCAGGGTCTGTAAGACAGACTACCGGCCGCATGGAACTCTGGGTAGGAGAGTGGCCCGAGGTCTTCCATTAACTGCCCGACGAAGGAGGGCAGTTGAAAAGACCGAGGGCTTCTGCAAATGATAATGCCCTGAAAAATAGCGTTACCGTTATTATAGCTAAAATGGTCGGAATTTGTTATCAAATAAAAAGAAACAACAATGTCGATTTTGAAACATTTACTGCAATCAACACGAATGTCACTGACCCACTTTTACAAATATGGAAACGTCATAGAACAAACCAGATGACGTCACTATTGAACGTTACGTCACCTATTAGTCCATTAATTAAAAGGTCCAGGTTCAACAAAATTGACGGAAAAGGTTTATTGCTGGATTTTGGTGCCTTGACACCTATGCATTAAAATAAAAAATAGTTTACCAAAATCGGACATGGGGAACCATCCGAAAATAGGTCAAATCCAAGATGGCCGCCAGCAAAAGTAATAATAGTCATAAACGTGGAACCAATAACAATAAAAACATGATGAGTCTATCTATATTAGCTTGCCAGGATAAATGCAAAGGAATGTATATTTAACAATTTTGAAAGGAAAATTCACATAGAAATTTAAAATAATGCTTCAAAATGACGAAAAAGTACATACATTTTTTAATATCAGTAATTCTTGCAGAACATGAACCGATTTATTATAATGTTGACGTTTTACATATAAAATCATACAGTTTATTGTCTTCACATAAATAATCAAGTTAGAAACAAATATAATTGGAAAAAACCCAAAGTATTCCCTTCTTAAAAATGGTGGCCGAGCATACGATGTTTTAAAGATAGACCTAAAGAACATAAAGGTATGTATAAGCTATTTTTCTTTTATAGCTAAAATGAACACTTGTATAATGTATTGTTGATTCGCTCTAGAGAGGAATAACTGATGAAAATATGAACAAATATAAATATAAAATTTGAAACAGAGCCTTAAAATTAACATCAACATTTGTTTCAAGGAAAATCAAGGGAGATAATCCAAACTCCGGGAAGCAGTTATTTTTCTCAAATGGTATTAGCTTCTCAGAAACTTTATTAAAAGTTAATTCAGAAGATGTAATCAAGACATTTAGCACAAAAATCATTTGCTATAATCGGAAAAGCAACATTTGTATCTGTACACATGTCAACCATATTTCTATCAACTGTTACTATTCGCAGGTGACTATTCTCAACTGAAGGTGTCCTATGTAGATCACAGATGGCGACTTGTTTGCTATGCATGGAACCAGTTAACCTGGACAAACCCCCCGATTATGTGAAGTTGACAGCAAAATGCTGCTGTAGCATTAATAACGCAAACAGACTGCACAAATTAGATGCACCAGACATCACATGTGACTCCACATGCTTCCATTGCATCGACTGAACATTAGTCTCAGGATCAAAGTGATGGACCCATGTTTCATCCTGTGTGATAAATCTGTCAAAAAAGTTTGCCTGGTTTTTTTTGGCACATGGTCAAAAGATCCTTTGAGCAATTGACTGGTTCCTGCTTTTGGAAAGGTGTGAGCAACCTGGGAATCCATCGTGCAGACACCTTATGCATGTTCAAATTGTCATGGATGATTTCTTCCACAGACCCTACACTGATCTTGACATCTTGTGCTAACTGGCGAACAGTTATACGTCGGTCTGCCAAAATGGCGGTCTCCACTTGATGGATAGTGTCCTCATCAATGGCTGAATGGGGGCGACCAGGAACGGCAGCTGTTTCCACAGATGTCAGACCACACTTGAACTGGCGATGCCAGTGTTTAACAACGTCATATGATGGGGCATCTTCCCCATAAGTTGCGTTCATTTCATCGAAAGTTTC